GAATCGGGTATAATCTCCGCAGGTATTTCCAATTCAAAGGACGACTTCATTTCCGCTCCCTTGTTGAGATTGACGAAGAAGGCCCGATTACCATATATGGTAACGCCTTCGGGTACAACCTTCATCGATTTGTGGATGGCATCACCGGCCACAGGAGAAATGGCGGTGTACTTCAACATGACATTACCCAAAACTTTAGGTCGGATCATAAAGGCAACTCCGGCGGCACCCATAGCAGGCACTCGAACCATCTTCGTACGTGATTGATCTCCAATTACTTCGTTGGTGATTTCGGTAAATTCAAATTCATTGTCGCTATTATCCAAGGTGACCTCAACATCGAGGGTTTTGTCCAAATAATTGAAGACCAGGGCGGGGATGTTGATGACCTCACCTGGAAAAAATTAAAAAAAATATTTTTTTATTTTCACTAAAATCTACGCTTTGTATAGACCCTTGAAATATAATTTTAATATCCTAGCCTCGTATAGATCTTTGAATTTTTTTTTGTGAAATATATGCCTTGTATAGTCTCTTGAAAAAATATTTTTTAAAAAAATCCACTCCTTGGTTGAGCCTCCAAAAAGTATTTTTACAAATTTATCCATTCTCACCTCTCTTAACCGAATATGGCAGCCGTATGGAAATGAAAAATGGTTTGAAGGTGGTAATCTTTGTTTCTTCGCCAGTCACTGCCAAACCTTTTTCACTGTTCATAGCAAAGCCGGTCAACACCCATGAGGTAATGGTATCGGGGATTTTCTTGGACCAGGTAAATTCTTCCTTGTCAGTACTAAATAAAAAACAAAGAAATCAGTTTTTAAAAAATATTCTCCAACAAAATATCATTCCACCACCACCTACTTTTCAATATTATCAAATATCCAGGTCTCAGCAAAGTCTTTGCGAACCTGTATGGGTTCAGGTTCATTCGAAGGTTTGGCGCTAGGGCCATGTGGTGAATTTTGGTAGCTATTTGGCAAATCTCCCTGTGGTGTAGAATTTGTTGCAGCGGTCCAATTATAGACATAATCACCATTTGTCAGGGTAATACAACCGGATAATGAACCAGGATAATAAGAATAGCCAGGAGGTGTGGTTGTCACATAAGAACCCACAGTCCATCCGAAGTCACTGGCATGAATGTCATTGTTCGATCCCAATAGCAGGACACTTTGATCCACCGCCATCAGGCCCACAAACGAGTTGGGGGCCGTTTTAATTTTCAAAGTGACTTCCTGGCCGGGTTTGACCTGGTCAGCAGCAGTGATGGTGATCTGGAAAGAAAGACAAAAATAATTATTTTGAAGAAATTCACGTCCAAGGCTAGGCCTTCAAAACTAAATTTAAAAAGACCACGCCTAAAGCAAGACCTTCAAAAATAGATTTGAAAAAATCCATGCCTTAGGCAAGGTCATTAAACATAAATTAAAAAAAAAAAAATCCACGCCTCTTGTTATGCCTTCTTTTTTTAATCTGATGGACCCTTTACCTTATTTTCGATTTCGTAGTCAATATTGTAGGTTTTCTCCGCATAGTGATATTTACCCAGCTCATCAATATAATAAATATAAATCGCAAAGGTAGGAGAATACACCAATTCCGGAGTGATGGTAATATTGTGCGCCATGGGCTTCTGAGGTAAATCAATATGTCCCGACTTGACTATATTACCCCGAGCAATAACATTATAATCCAAATAGGGCAGGGGTTTGCTGGACTTCACCGTAAAATCTTCGGGCTGATATAATTTGGGACTACAAAAGGACGGAACAAAATTGATAATTTTAGATCAGATTAAAGGGTATTCAATACCTACGAATTACTGTAGTGTGCATAATTAATTGTAAACCATTCCTTAGCTGGTATATCGAGGTTTTTGGATTCACTACGCTGAAAGGCGCTATTGATATTATGTTTTTCATCCCGATATTTGGCCTCAATGTTATAGTAATGATTATAACCTTCATATTGTTTAAGATCAGTCAGCTTCACCATGAAGGTGACGAAACCCGTCTCATTCATAAAACCCTTAAAGCTGTATGTGAGATTTCCCGAAATTGGTGGGCTCAGAGTCGTTGTCACATCCTCCTCATTATTAATGTACACATCCAACACCTCGGTGTATACCAATTCCACAGGGGTCTTCGTGTCCTTCAAATGCGAACCATCCACATAGGTCAACTGAATAATGACCTCCTTTTCCTTATCTGCCTCAAAGGAGGTGCATTCCAAATGATCCGGACAAACAATTAAATAGCGGAAGGGATAGATTTGGGTATAGGCGGTGTTGCTAAGTTTTAATCCCGTGAATTCTTCTTCGACGGTGGCCGTAATAGTGGCAGTGCTAAACATGTCTATATACGCCTCCAGTTCCTTGACATTCAGATCTATCTTGGCCTTGCCTTGGATCATATCTCCGGTGCGGATAATGCTTTGTTTACCCATGCTGAGGATAACGGTGGCTTTGCCGTTCAAGGGCTTGCCATAGGTGTAGCTGAGGAAATAAATCAGCAATTATTAGACTCTAGTCTATTCCTCCTCCTCAAAAAGAATACTTACTAGGACCTGACAATAACCTGCATGTCACCATCCTTAGTGGACACCGACTCCGGAGCCTCAATCGTGACCACATATTTCGGCGGGTCATATCTCCTGACATAAAAGGACACGGAATGATCATCTTGACCCTTGGTAGACACGACCACACGCCAATTACCCATCACCGGAAATTCGGAAATTTTAAATTGCCCCGTATGCACCCCCTTGACCACTTCGGAAATTTTAAATTCTTTAATGCGATTTTGGTTACCATCTTCCAACCAGATGATGGTATCCTTTTCCGGCACGGCAGGTTTCAATTCCTTGTCCAAAAACAATACCCGATAATTGATGGTGTCTCCAGGTTTATACTGACCCTTATCGGTTTGGATCAAAACGTATGGGCTAAATTTGGCATACTTCAATGCAGTGGAATTTTTAAAATTCTCCAGACAATTAATACCCTCAGCTACTAGATTGTGTTTACCCCCAGTCAAGGTGGGCACTGCGAACTCGACTTCTTTTATTTCCGAACCTGTGAGCTCAACAATTGTACTTTCATTAAAGGAGAGACTTGTAATGCCCACCTTAATTTGGCATGCAGAGTCCACGTGATGTACGGCCACAGCTACCGTATATTTGTCATTGGAGTGTATGGTACCGGGAGCGATAATGGTATATTTGCTGGAAGAAAAATCAAGGAGAAGGAGAAGAAGAAGAATAACTGATTAGAAACTTCAGGTTGTTTGTTGGAAATTAAATGATCGCTGGAGGCAAAGGCTATCATGGGAGTGTAGTTTAATTTGTTCAGCATGTTATCCTAACACACTGGGAGGTGTTAAAAAAAAACCAGTGAAAAAGCGCTAAGTTCGGTCGGGCCGAACTTTGTATACCCTCCACCATTGATATACTGACAGGTACTTAAAATGAAAATATACGGAAAATACCAAAAAGTGGACCTATACCGACATTTCTACAAACCGATTATGTAAACCATAATACAAAGTTCGAAAATTTGTAATTGATAATTATACCCTCAGCCTTATGGCTAATGGGGGGTGACATGGCCTCATCGAAATATTAGTTGTAGACCCCATGTTTCTTTGGACCAAATTAGTTTCAGAAAATTTTGATTTCATCCAAACTTTGTCCATCTTAATATTTCTTCCAAACTTAGTTCAAATTCGAATTCATATAAAAAAGTTCATTATCGAACCTTACGTTCTAGTTTTTTTTATCCCGATATCCTCCGCAGGTGAAAAGATTACAACAGAGTCTCAGAACCAAACCCAAAACACGGAACAAATTAGATAACTATTTTAATATGAACAAGTGAAAAAGCGTTAAGTTCGGCCGGGCCGAACTTTGGATACCCTCCACCATAGTTATACTGACAGATACATGCAATGAAAATATAAGGGAACATACCAAAAAGTGGGTATATACCGATAATTCTACAAACCGATTTATGTAACCCATTATGTATACCAAATACAAACATCGGCAATTTTTAAGTGGACTGATACTGATAATGCATGGGGGCTACCAGAAAAAGTGGACCTATATTTATAATTTTTTGTGGAGACATTAAGTAACAAATAAGAACCCAATGTACCAAATTTCAGCGAATTCGGTTGAAAACCGCGCTCAAGAACCCGAAAATACCGATATTTTGGGGATACCCTTATATGGGGGCTACCCGAAAAAAATGACCTATATTTATAATTTTTTGTGGAGAGATTTGCTACCCAATAAGAACCAAAGTACCGAATTTCAGCGAATTCGGTCAAAAAATGCGATCAAACCCCCCATAATACCGCAAAATTAGGTGTACCCTTATATGGGGCCTATCCGAAAATATGGACCCATATTACCAAATTTTAGCGAATTCGGTTGAAAACCGCGCTCAAGAATCCTAAAATACCGAAAGTTAGGGGGTACACTTATATGGGAGCTGTGCCTAAACGTGGACCAACATAGCCCATCTTCGAACTTGACCTGCCTGCAGACAAAAGACGACTCTATGCAAAATTTTAACGTTCTATCTCAATTCGTTTAGACGCTAGATTACAACAGACAGACGGACAGATGGACATGCTCAGATCGTCATAGAATTTTACGCTGATCAAAAATATATATACTTTATAGGGTCGGAAATGATTATTTCGATGCGTTACAAACGGAAAAACAAAACTAATATACCCTCCATACTATGGTGGAGGGTATAAAAAGGGGGTTATTTGAGAACTACCCCAAATAGGGATAATTTGTGGGTGCGGAGATTTATTACCATATACGACTACAAAATACCAAATTGCAGCTAATTCGGTTGGAAAAACGCGCTCAAGAACCCTAAAATACCGAAAGTTGGGGGCACCCTTATATGGGAGCTATGCCTAAACGTGGACCGACATAGCCCATCTTCGAACTTGACCTGCCTGCAGACAAAATACAACCCTATGCAAAATTTCAGCACCCTATCTCAATTCTTTCAAGATATCGTGATTAGAACAGATGGACAGACGGACATGGCTAGATGTCTTAAAATTTTACCCTGATCAAGAATATATATACTTTACAGGGTTGGAAATGAATATTTCGATGAGTTACAAACGGAATGACAAAATTAATATACCCTCCTTACTATGGTGGAGGGTATACAAAAGAATATTGAAAATATTATTCAATGCATTCAAATAAGCGTGAATTTGTTGAAAAACAATTTTTTTCGAGGCCCTTAAAATATGCATAGAGGTTTTTAAAATAATTTTTTGGAGGTTTACGCCAAGGCGTATTTGTAAAAAAAAAAAAAATAATTTTTGGAGGTTCTACACAAGGCGTGGATTTTCATACCCTATATTCATGTTGTTTTTCCTTTCGTAAATCATAGAACAAATCATTTCCGACCCTTAATCAGCGTAAAATTCTACGACGATATAGCCATGGTCGTATTTTTTTTAATTAATTTTTGGAGGTCTCAAGCAAGGTGTGGATTTTTTAGAATTAAATTTTTGAGGTCTTCAAAGCGAGGAGATTTTTATTTTTAAATAATTTTTTTGTATGGATTTTTCAAAAATATATTTTTGCGGGATCTCCAAAGCATGGAGGTTTTTTTTAAACCTCCAAGCTTTGGAGGTTTAAAAAAATAATAAATATGCTAAGAAATGTGCAAAAAAAAAAATTAATAAATAAAATAAAAATAAAAATAAAACACAAAACAAAGCTCCAAATCTATAAAAAATTAACATTTAAATAAATACATAAATAGATAAAATTAAAATAAACACATAAACAAATAAAAAAAAACTTGTTGGGTACATCACATATATAGAAGGCAATAAAAAACAACAACAGCATAAACATAAATAAAAATAAAAACCAGTAAGGAAAGTAGTAAAGTCGGACGGGGCCGACTATATGATACCCTTCACCACTATGGGTATATTAAACAGGACCATTAACATGAAATTGGATGTAATTAAATATGTGATATTTATCTAAGTGGGAAACGACCTAAATCTATCCATAAACATGTCATTCGTTTGTTGCAATGGGACAAAAGTATGTAAATCGACTTCAAACAAATATAAATAGATCATCTATTGGTCAATGTATGTACTTCTAGAAAACTCAACTACGTACTTCTATGCTCATTTTGGACGTTGTGCAAAATTTGATGTCAATCTGACTAACATGAGGAGTTTGATGCCCAACTTACTTAAAATCGGACGAAAATATATATGAAAGCTATATCCAAATATAAAGCGATTTCAACGAAGCTTGTCACAGGTTAGGTTATACTAATTTCAGTAAGTTTTGGTTTGGAGCGTCAATTACTTAAAATCAATCTATGATAAAAGGGAGCTA